AGAGTGGGATGCTATTGGCCGAATTGGAATTGGCCACGCGCGCCTGTTTGATGCAATTTGATAGCGTTAGGGACCATCTTACAAGATTTATGGAGGAACGTGATTTCCCTAAGGAATAATTTAAACTCGTTATTGTTGCTATTGGCTGAGAAAAGGTATAATTTTCTAAAGATAAGTAAATAGTGGAACAAATTGTGAAATATTGCGTCTCTCTCTTGAATTTCCGCCACGTTCAACAAACTCCTTAAGCTAGTCTGACGCATGCGTGTCATACAGGTTCATCATTCGCAACACAATACACTCCGTCTACCGCAGTGTATTGCCATACTGTTTACAATTCAGATTATCTGTTTTAGGAAGGAATACGCTAAGCGAACAACCGAGGTGCCCATCGCCGTTACGGAGCCAAGGCATGGCAAGCGATCCAAACTCATCCGGACTGATCGGCGCGAACAGATAGCCAGCAACCTGGAGTTTCAATTGAGAATCAACCGTCAATTCAGGCGAGGGACGAACACTTCAGTCTGTGCCCCTTGGCATTCAGAAATGGACGTGTAATCTACTGACAACTAACACTCTTTATGTTGAAGGCAACAACTTACATATTTAAGTAGATTGACTCGCACTTGCACTTACTGTCAGCCCTAATACTGTGGTGATACCACCAGCTACCTTGGAGACCGAGTCTACAGCCTGTTCAGGAAAACTGAGAGGGTCACTTTTCATCACAGCCAGCTCCCAAGAAGTTCTGGTGGTTAATAGCAACAGCAGACTAGTTGTGGCGTCGATCACGAAGCAATTATCAAGCCTGAGAGACTCATCCGATAGCTGAACTACATGGCACCAATGCGTGGCTTCGGTGGCCCGGGCATGTTCGTCCCCTCCTGCGCCTTCTCTCCATATCTAGACATTTGTTGGAGAAACAGCAAGGCGATCACCGCATAGGCTACAAGACTCTTAATTCGAAGACAACCGTGATATAGTGGCCACAATAGTCGTGTAAGAACTAGATGACCCCAAGGACATTTGGTTGAAAGCGTTATCAACTATGTTCAAAAGCCCTATTCTTGGGTGGATTTAGCGCGAAATTCAACCCTCCTGGCAAGTTTTCCTCGTCATTCTTTGCTTCATCCATGTGTTTTGGCACTGTTTCGGGGAATGCAGAAACAAACAATTGCCTACGTGTGATGTCCTCAATCACACGTATGCAACTGACTATATCGCGGCCAATAGATGGTCATTGCATTCGCTTTGGAGCCCCTCGACAATATCACTTACAGCCCGCTGCTTCCGTACGCAAAGCGGTGTCCGCTCTCCATCGATAACAATGTTTCCCAGCAGCATGGGAATGTAGGGCTTATGACTGCTTATGACGGTGAATGATAGCCAGCGCTCAATAAATGCCTTGTGATTACTGAGGCGGTTCGGTTGACTCAACCGTCAATGACCCCACCGGTTTGAGAGACCACTTGAGGAGCCGCTCATCGATTTGGGTGCCAAAATTTCATTCAGTGCACTCAAATTAGGTTGGGCTAGTGAAGAATTTGTTCGTATAACTAATAAAACATGCAATGTACATAACGGTAGATTGATTATCATTTGATTTACTTGGTCCCACCCCTGCGTCATGTATTCAACGCTGATAAACCCATTTTCTTCTTTCCGGACTTGCAAAACTTGTAAAACTGAAACTGTCAAAGACAGCTTAGAACCCGTACCTAGAGCTTTGTGCCAACCCGTACCGGAATAATCAGGGAAGCTACTCGGGAATGTGATATATATGTAATGCTGTTTGCTACTCTACGCTTTAGGCACACAGGAAACCCTCTGAGTTGCGCTTGCCTAAATACCCCAATCTAACCACAAGTGGAGCGACCGTTACAACGCATCGATTAGAGGTGGGCACGTGATGTTTGTAGGGCAATCCGCGGGACAGTTCAGTAAGGGAGCGAGTGTAGGCAAAACAGGATGGCCGCAAATTGGGTCAATAAGCGGGAACATTCCAACCTTTGCAGTTGTGTGAACGGTGAGAAGAGTGACTTGTTTCTTATCGGGTAGATTCTGGTGAGAAAACAAACCATGTGTGGAACAGATGACCACACGCGGAAAGTACGCTAGAAAATGTTCTGCACCTTTGTACTGAAGCAGGGCGGTAATTTGTGATGTTCCTCTCTACAGATCCACTGGTTACTTGCAGAATCGATCCACCTGTTTCACACCGGTACAGAGTATAAGAATGTTCTCTTACCGGTAGTATATTTGCGTTTCAGTTAGGGAACTAGTGGTCAATTATGATGGTAGACAAATCGTGTTACTTAGCTTTATCGAACATGACAACCGGTTAACTAGGGTCATTTCATACGTTTAGAAATGTAGGAACCATCTGCACTTAAAAAAACAGTAAACAGCGTGTTCCAACCAAATAAATACATAAATCGTATAAGAAATGTAGGAACCATCTGCACTTAAAAAAACAGTAAACAGCGTGTTCCAACCAAATAAATACATAAATCGTATATTCCTCGACGATGCAAGAAGCTGTTCCCTAAAAGGAACAGATCAAATAATGGTACAACCTCTCCATGACATTGCATTAATACATTTTCAGAAATAAATATGGGCGCAATTTCAAATTAGGTAACACAAAGTACTCAGAATCGTTTTGCTATTTTTCCTGCCAATGAACCAGAATTCTTCACAATCACATGACAGATGTTTGGGCCGAGAAAAAATGAAATGAAAGGGGCTGTCGTCCGAAATGTTATGTGTATGTGTCTCGAAAATTTATTCAGGTACCATCGATACCGTTTCGAATGCGTTATCTAGGGACTGTGACGTCCCGAACATAGTAATCACGTTTTTGACGTTTAACTGTTTGCTAATCGCAAGCCTACAATTGCAAAGTGTATAACATGTTCTGATATCACTTGGAAGTTTGTTCCAAACCTTTGAGTGACTGTTAAGTCAGTCCTTCTCATAGCAATTAATTTTCCTTACCTTTACTGTGCCTAACTGCTTGACTTAAGTGGGGTCATTAAAGAAAACATCCGTGTCCCACCTAGCTAATCTGTATCCGCATTTGACGAGCAAAATATGGGAGCAAGATGCCAAATGAGACAGTAGTTGGGCACTGTTCGGACGATACAAGTTTAGCTCAGACAACCACTTCTGCCGTTACCCAAGAGGATAAACGGTTTGCCCCGGTGATTGAACCAGTCTATGAAGGGCAGTCCAGCAGTATCTCGTATCAACCAAATTATCAGAAATCCCAGACAATCCTGTGCGACGGCGAAACATCACACATCCGCGGTTTGGATTACTGAATGTCATTTCGATACAGGGCAGTTATCAGAAATGTACAGCACAGTATCTCTATATCTCCACCTGAAGTAGTTGGCATTTAAAAATTCCACTGAATTTATTTTCACTTTGCTGTGTGCGAGTGTAAAACTCCGTAACAGGTACACCGTAAGAAGTGAGCGAAGTAATCGGATGTAGATGTGACGACAAATTGGATAGTATGGCGAATGAGATGCGAGAACCTTTTGCTGCGAAGCGAAAAAAAGAAAAAAGGCATCAACAGTACGCCGGTACACAGTATGGACGCTTCGCTATCGAGCAACCACCACCAGTCGCACATGGGCTAAGGATATTGCGAGGGTCGCCCGGTCTCTAGGCCGGCTCGAACCCACGACCTCCGGATTACAACGTAGGTTATGAGCCGGCTGTGCAGCAAAAGCAAAATTATCCACTGCGGTAGTTACATTTGGCCATCTAATCGATTCTTGGTTGTAATCTAAATCTGACGTAATCAATGCAAGGCGACATCACGGCATAAATGTATTATATTTTGATCAATCTGCCTAACTTCATCGAACAACTATTTGGCTTACCAGACATGAGGATAGTTGCGAACCAAGATACACAAAATAAATACCAAAACCGCTTGGTGTTCACTTCACTTTACGGTGCACAACAACACCGCAGGATGGCACGCCGTAAAGTCGATGCAGCAGACGCATTTCCTCGTCGTATTCAAAGCATAGTTTAATTTCCGGTTTCCTTGGAACATTACACTAAGCGCATTCCAAACGAATAGCCGAGGTTGCTTACAAGTGAGATGATGGTCACCGAACTTGTGCACAAAGTGGATGCTGAAACCATTATCCGTGAAAAGATGCTTATCACTGCCAACCGTTTCGGTGGGATCACGGTTCGTACCAAGCACCAGGAGAGAAATTTCCTCATGGTTCATGGCAATGTGTGTACAAATATAGTGTATGGTGGCCAGCGAGGAGTTTCCGGTGGCGGGCAGGGTTGATGATATTCGAGTTTTCATAGCCGACTGAAGAAACCAACCCCAGGGCAATTAGCCCAGAGAGCTACTAAGACGTGATCTGAGGACGATCACATCAATAGTGTGTAGCCATCTAATCGCTGCGCAGTAGATCAGAATCCAAGACCGTCCTGTTACAGCGAACAGTTGAGCATCAGGAAGCAAAACGCAACGAAGAAGCTCGTATTTTGAGCACAGTAATGGAGTATGGAATGCGCTAATTGAAGATAGTAAATTGTGCGAATTAGATAATCGCACGTTTGGGTTCCGCAAAATCCAACGTGAATGTTTAGTGCCGATAAGCCCTGAAAAGACGATATGACTGCTCAGTGTGCCTCTCCCGAATCTTGCAACTTCGATAAAATTGAACATTGGCTTAAAATGGACACAACAGATGGCTGCGCAGTCCGTCAAGACTGACACAAAGCCTTCAAAACCTGGCTCGTCCTTGCTCCGGAGCAAAACCCGAAGATGCCAACTTTATTGAATGTGTTATGTCACGTGGACTTGAACTTTCGGCACTAATACTCAGCCGCAAGCTGACAACCGGTGTGAGTCCCACAGAGCGGTGACAAGGAAGTCTTACAAGACTGCAATACCCGCCGCCTTACAACCGTATTTTCTTCAGTCGCGAGGGTCATCAATGGGACACAAATGGACTCACCTCGAAGTTCGAGTTCAGTAGACAATCCTGCGCCCCAGTTGCAGGTAAGTCTTCGTAGCCCTCGCTACCGTTGTGTGCACAGTGCTCAAACCGACCCGATCCTTTGCCGGTTGTGCTTAGAAAATTGTCCCTGCACTACACGTGCGGATATGTGAAGCTTGGACAGTCTATTCAAATCCCAGTGGGAGCGTAGTCATGGTGCGCGCGTGTTGCACACACATGCACACACATGGTGGTGCGACATGTGTGTGCAAACCAGTTAGCCCAGGAGAGCGTGGGCTCTGCGAGTGACGGACACATACGCGCGATGTCCCACTGCGCACAAGGAGAAGGTCATCGGGCCCACCAACTACCTGACAAATCTAGCTGTGCCAAATGCACCTTGGGTAACCAATGGAGAGGCTGGTTGGGTCCGAACCGAAGCGACGATTTCATGCCCGATGCGGTACGTGAATGCATGGAATTGGTGTTATGGTCGATCGATAAATGCCACTTTCGGGCTATGTACGACGGAAGCAAGGGAACAATGTGCGCTCGGTGGGAACAACTATGGCGGACACGAGGGCATTTCGCGGAATCGATGCCAGTATGTACTAAACTGCAGTTTAGTGAAGTATGCGTAGAATTGTAAGTATAGCTAGAGCGTGTGCGGTTATGCAGCTGTTGGCAATCATCTTAAGAAGGAAAGCAGTAGAACACCAGATTCATAGGTAAACTGTATCCGTAACCATATCCCCTAAACTGTAATTAGAAGTCAACGCAGTGATAATGAAACCACCGCATCGTTAGTAATATCTCCCATTCCAGCGATCATGCCTTTCATAATTTCAATTACTTGACGAGATTTATCCCAAAGAAATTGCGCACTTTCCCTTTTGACAATGAAATATCCTGTGTTGTCACCATATCCCGTTTCCGGGTAACAAAGAGAACCAGTTCACTGAGTGAAAGGCCGATCGGAACATCTCCGTGACAGTTTTGAAGAGCCACAACTTTAACTGAGCCGAAAATGCGCACCTGTTATGAGAGACAGTGAATACCGAGTAGTTAGAACTAACTGTGGAAAATGAGACGCAGTGTGAACGATCCGTGTACTAGAGAACGAACGTCTACATGGTATAACATTCCCAACATAGAACAGCTGGAATCATTTGAGCACCTCATTCGTTGTGCCATTTGATTCTACGCTTCGCTATGTGCTGTCGACTCAGCTTTCCGCGACGGTACGGTATAGGCTCAACGCTCCAGCGCCATCCATTTTCAAGGCTAATTGAATTGTGGGATCTTTTCCAGTTAAACCCCGCCACTAATGCAAAAAGAGCATGCGCAAAAAGTTAAGCCCCGCCACTAAGGCAAAAAGGGTACATCTGAAAAGTCAAGCCCCACCAATAGTGCAAAAAGGGCACGCGTGAAAAGTTGAGCCCCGCCACTGTTTGCCAGCTCCAGTGTACGTAATGCATGTGAACGTGCCCCATAAAAACACTCCTCATCCACTTCTAAGGTCATTTTTGTCCAAAAAGTTTCTGCGTTCGCACGTAAAACCTGACATGAACTTTCTGACGCTTTCGGCGGTCGTTCATGACAAGGAAACTGCAATACGTTTTTTGCAAAGCCATGGAGTGATTCATCATCAACGTTTATGCAGACGAGGACACCAAATGACACTTTCAACTGTTTCTGACAGGTGGAGGTGTGATGCCCGACAGTGTCGGCAAGAAATCGGTCTTCGAAAGGGAACTTGGCTGCAGCGGTCTAGGATGGATTTCAGGACAATAATCCTATTCATTTATTGCTGGTCCAAAAATCTGACAAAAATCAAATTCTGCTCAGAGGAGTTATCTATTGACCATGCGACCGCTGTCGACTGGAAGAACTTTCTGCGTGAAATTTGCGCCTGGCAGCTTTTGCAGACCAACGATTGTCGGCGGCCCAGGTCTACATGTTGAGATCGATGAAACCCTAATATCACGTCGTAAAAACCATGCAGGGCGAGTCCTTCCCCAGCAGTGGATTTTCGGAGGGATTTGCCGGGAGACTAAAGAAGTGTTCTTGTATGCAGTGCCAGATCGAACTGCGGCCACTCTGCTGGACACAATCCAGGCCTGCATCGCTCCCGGCTCAATTATCATTTCCGATATGTGGGCATCATACCAAGGCATTGAATCGGTGATTTGCATGAGTTATACTCATCAAACGGTTAATCATACGGAAAACTTTGTGGATCCAACGACTGGAGCTCACGCACAAACCATCGAATCTCTCTGGCACATTTACAAGATGCAGAATAAGCGCCAATGCGGCACACACCGATCTTTAGTGGACAGCTACCTGTGTGAGTTCGTTTGGAGGCCAAGATACCGAAAAATTGACCTTTTCATGCAAATTATTAATGACTTGTCTCAATTTCACCCTCTTCAATAGAGAGTAAAAGTTCAAGTTCCATATCCTCCCTTTTCATAATCTATTTTGGGTGGCGGGGCTTAACTTTTTGGCGGGGCTTAACTGGAAAAGATCCGAATTGTGCACTTCGCGCACTTCATCCGCGGTGACGTATTCTTCGCTTTCATCGCGCCTGCTTCTTTCACTGTACCACTAGTACTACTTAGTAATGCACCACACTTCTTCCCCCCAAAGTCTCCGCGGCCGTCGACCTCGCACGCAGTCTCTCCCACCTTCAGGGCTGCCCATGTATACCGTAATTGCCTATCCTCGCTCGTACCACTTCCTCAATTCGCTAGCGTAAACTCGTCGGCTATTCTGACGAGCAATGGTACATAGGGGGCCTCTTCGATCGATTACGTCATATGGTCTCATCCACATCGGCAGGAGTTTCCTGTCGCCTGGGTCACATGCGGGCGGGCGCTGGTGATCTCTGTACTATAACTACGAACCGATTTGAAACTCTCCGGATGGTTTTTCATGTTGACTCGGGATTTCTCCAGCATACATGCCTGGACTGCCTTCAGGTTTCGGTTCGCTACGTTCCTGTTGTTCCGTGCTTCCCTCAGCGGTAACCGGCAGGCCGGCCACATTCCCACCTCTAGATCCACAGGAATTCGAGGTGCACGGCCGTACATTAACTGAAATGGGGATTGACTCGTGTGTGCTTGCTAGCAAGCAGGCAAGAGCTACTAAGAGTAGTGGTAGAGCTTTCTCCTAAACCCGCTTTCGCCGCCAGCCACACTTTGAATGTTCTATTATTCTTCTCCTTCAATCTATTTGTCTGGGAATGGTAGGGATCGTTTCGTCTCTTCTTGATGCTCAGTTGCTCCAGAGATGTCCGGAACTTGTCACTCTCAAAGCATGGGACCTGGTCTTTCAGTATGATCTTCGGAATTCCGTGGCCCGCTATCACGTACCGCGTCAACGCATGTGTTATCATGCTGGCTCGCTGATCCGGAATTGCCGCGACTTCAATCCAGCGGGTGAAGTGCTCGATCATCACGAATAAGTATTGTTTGTTCCGTCTCGTCAACGGGAACGGTCCCATCATGTCGATTGACCATAACTCAGCAACCTCAGACCCTGGAATCGCGGGGATAGGTTGTGGTATTTCTGCTTTGTATCTCCTCAAGAGCTGAAACTGTTGACACGGCAGCATGTATGTATCGAGGTCTATTTTCGTCTCCGACCAGTCAGCTCGCTGCCTAAGCAAATTATATGTTATGGTGCATCCGGTATGGGACATCTTGTGACAAGAGAGCACCAACTTTTGCCGCAACTTCGGTGGGATCACCAGCACCGGAGTAGCGTCGCGCCTTGTGTCCACATCAGAATTCTGACTTCGTTGACTTGCAGGTTTTCCAGGTTCGCGCGAACGACCTGAATGGTTGGCCTTGGCTTTAGGTTGTCACAGATTGCCTCGTTATTCGTGCTGTTATCAGCCTGTTCAGCAGCTTATGCTTTCGTTACTCAGCTGCCAACATCCCCGGATCCTGTTCCAGCACAAAAGCATTGACACCGAAAGCAACGTTTGGCAAGTCATCGTCACTCGTCAAGTGCGATAAAAATCTGATGTTCTGTTGTCCCTTCCTGATAGGTACATTATCGTGAAGTCGTATTCTTGTCGGCGCAGTACTCACCTAGCCAACTTGCGTCTGGGGTCTTTGGAGGACATAATCCATTTCAATGGATTGTGATCTGTTTCGACGTGAAAGCGTCGACCAAGTACGTCCGTCACTTGTTCAGCGCCCGAACAATTGCCTGACACTTCTTCTATAGTGTTGAACACTTGCGTTCTGATGGCGCTAAAATTCTGCTACCGTATTCAATCCTCCTCTGCTTTCGCTTCAGTACCTCACCGATTCCGACCTTACTTGCGGCTGTGATCACCATGAACGTTTCTCCGGCGATCGGCAATTGCAACGTAAGATCCTGCCACCCCATTTCTTTCCGAATGTCGTCAAACGATCACTGAGGTTCTGGCGTCCACGTGAATTTCTTCCTCTCTCCTAACAGGTCGTACAAAGGTGACGTCAACCTGTTAAACTTCTTACGGATTTAGTGTAGTGTCCGGCGAGGCAAAAAATGCCCTAAGACTGTGCTTCGAGATCGGAACTGGGATGTCTCTAATTGGCAATATTTTCTTCGGCAGCAGCCTCAGTTCACCCTGACCCACCTTGTGACCAAGCAATGTCATGGACGTTACCCGATTTGAGATTTAGGACCGTTTATCCATACTTCCGACTGTTGGATCCCTTGCAACATTGCTTCCAAATGACGGCCGTGTCCTGCTTCCGATTCACTGCATATCACCATGTTGTCTCCATACACGGCTTAAAAGACGATTTACTTGTTCGATTATCCTTCCATTTTATCTATTGCTCCAACCACCCTACGGGACCTGTCAAGCATATGCTTTTTTACCCGTTATAAATCATTGTTCATTGTTCATTGTTCACATTCTCTAACCCATCATCTAGCAGGCAGAGCATCAAATGAACGGGGTACCAGATAATCAAAACGGCATCTTTTTAGATTGGTACTACTTTAACTAACTGTAAACGCGGTTTACTTCAGGTCCTCTTGTTTGATCGCCAGCTGCCAGTAGCCAGATCTCAAATCCAGTACCGGGAATATCTTTAAATCCTGCAGCATGTCGAAGATGTCTGCGACTGATGACACACGGACAAAAGGATTCAGAAAGAATTTGTTCAGTCATCTGAAGTCCACGCAAAAGTGGTACTTTCCGTTGGCCTTCTTCACCAAAACGAATGGGATGGTATAAGGACTGTGAGCCTTCTCGTTTGCACCCGCATTCAAGTTCTCCTGTATCTTCCTTTTGACCTCGGTCTCGAGGTGGATTGGTATCCTTCTGGGTCCATGCGGCCGATCCGGCTGCCGCAAAATGGGAATTGTGTGTTCGATTCAATCACAGAACCCGTATGGACTGTTGTCGTCTGTGGAGAATTTTGTATTTGCCAAGAATCGATTGCATGACCATACTAGTGTGTTAAACGGCAACGATTGAGCACGTCCATATGGTTCCTTCTTTACCAGCGAGAGGTATAGATCGGTATATCTTCCTCAGATTTCTTCGTTTCGGAGGAAGTCTGCCCCCAGAATGGTCTGTTTCCTGTTCGGCGATACCAGGAAGAGATGGTTGAATTTACAACTCGATACGAACCACGTACTCCGCCATACAATTTATTTGTATTTCGTAACCACTGACCGCCTTCATCACCATGGAACACGATTGGGTTTTCACTCCATCTCTAAGGTTGATCAGGGAGACTGCGGCTTCTGTAACGAGTAAACACCTCTGTTGCTGTATTCACCTTTACCACCGTTTCAATCGCACCTTCGTTAAGGACCCCAAGTGTACACACTCCAAAACGAGAATAATACTGTTTGTACTTTTATTTGGTACAAAGAGTGTAATGCGCCTTGATGGGCATTGCCACTTC